CTGCCAGCCAGGAAGGGCGCATTCCACGCGAGGCAGCTAACTGCCTGGCTTCATTCAGTTCCAGACAAACACTGTAGCATCCTGTATAGGACCCCAATCACAGCATAAGGGATGCTTTTTTTTTATTATTATTATTTTTTTTTATCTGCTGTTCGTGGATAGACGAGGGCCCTGACTGAACTGCGCAGCCCGAGTTTCAACTGCAATTGAGACTCGGGCCCTGACTAAACTGCTAAAACGCAGTTTCAAATGCAATTACAAACTACTTTCGTGACTGCACCGTAGTTACCCCTTTTTTTTAACTTCGTGTACTGGAAACCTACTTAACGAGGTGATAAGAGCATCCCCGGTAAGTAGGTCCCTGCGTCGAAGGCTCCATCTATCGGTGGGGAGCTGCACCTGCTGGAAATCGGGTCCAGCGTCCCTATGCAGAGATGCGTTGATGACTCCACCTACCTGTTGTATGCACATTTTAAACAATATATGTCAGATGATGGGAGATCCCTATCCATCTGATCAACGGTATCTCCAAAACAAAATGGGCCATCGAGATCAATCTAATCAATCAGACGAAACCCTAACATTGATGTAATGTGTATGAGGAATTGAGCTGGAACTCAAAGCCAGCGTTCCGTATACGATGATGAGTTGAGATGTCAAAGAGAACCTATTTATCAGACTAGGGGGCGAATCCCGCACGTTAGTGTCGCCCCCACACGTTAGTGTGACATGTGACATGTGTCTAAGCTGGGAATCATAACCAGCTTCATTTATGCAATGATAAGATATCAAAGAAGCAATACACTCCATCCTATATATATACTTCAAGTTACCTAACCGGTTTCTTAAAGAAGAACAGAGGCATTGATTACTCCCCTACAACAGGGAAGGATTGACCTCCTGTTCATGAAGTATTATTCCTAATCGAGAATTGTTAATTTCTGACTTCCTGCATGCTGGCAAAATTATCGTTGTCCACCCCCAGCAAGCAATCTTCAAACCTGCTAATAGCAGATCGAGCTGGCGATGCCCTGACCTATCTCCCCCCCTGATTCAATTTGCAGAAAGCAACTCCAGTCAGCAATCCATCTGAGCTCAACAAGGGGGAGAGCATCAAACCAACTCCCACCCTATGCCACCCAAAGAAGAGGCGATGAACACAGCGCACACCATCAGTTTGTAATTGTTGAGCAGAGGTATTGATTACTTCCCTACGCCAGGGAAGAATTGCCTCCAGCGCATGAAGTATGAACGCAGCGAAAAATAACGAGAAACATCTTCATCATTGATCACCACATCGAAGGAACCAAATGAGAACTTATGCCCCAAACCGCCAATCGACACCCCTGCTTATATACTACGAAAGTCCTCCTCCCCAGCAGGCAATTGTGAAATACATCGCAAACCTGAGGGGCGACCCACCCCCTCCTCCATTGAGGTCGTGGACCGGGCAACCCCAATCAACCAAGGAGGCAGCCAGACTCAACTATCCTATCCCCATCCGATGCCAGCGAAGGAGGAGCAAGCGATGATAGAGTTTGAGGGAGGGGAAAAGTTTCAAACCATTTCTTCCAACCCCAATCCCATCCCTATCCACCTCAGCCAATCCCCTCCCCTCTCCCCCCGTACAACTGATAATAGCGGATGCACGAACGTTGATGCTGCGCATGCCGCTGGTGCGATTTCCGCTGTTGGTGATGAAGCCGGCGTTGAGACTATCATTATAGTTATCGTTGTTGTTGCAGCCTCCCCTCTCTATCCCGCTATTCCCGTGGTTGTCGTTGCCACCATCGCCGTGATTATTGTTGATCTTGTTGCTGTTTTGTTGTTGTTGTTGTTGTTCTTCTTGTTGACGTTGTCGTCGTTTTTGTTCTCGCCATCGTTGTTGATGTTGTTGTCATCCTTCACCCCCTCTTCGCCCATTTGGCCCAATCCTTGCTCACCATCGTTGTTATTATTGTTGTTGTTGCTGCTTCTGCTTCTGCTGCTGCTGCTGCTGCTGCTGTTGTTGTTGTTGTTGTTGTTGTTGTAACGACCATTTCGTCAAAATGGACATTTTTTATTTTTTGAACGAAATTGAAACCGAGTTTTTTGGCCGAAAACTCGTATAAATTTTTTGTTCCTGAGGGTCCAGCGTTTTACAAACGCTGGACCCCCTGGCTGTACATGGACCTAGCTTGAGACCAGGCACCTCCAGGCAGGACTGCCTGGAGGTACTTGGTCTCAAGCTAGGTCCATGTACAGCCAGGGGGTCCAGCGTTTTACAAACGCCGGACCCTAAGGAACAACAAATTTTGACGAGTTTTCGGCCAAAAAACTCGGTTTCAATGTCGTTCAAAAGAAAAAAGATGTCCATTTTGACGAAATGGCAGTTTTGTTGTTGTTGCCGTCTCCATTATCATACGCGTCCACCTGCAGTATCACTCCCATCATGCTGCAGCTGTGGACGTCGGCCCCCCCATCATCAGCGTTGTTGTTGTTGTTGATGATGATGTTGTTATTGTTGTGGTTGTCACCGTCACTGTCCTTGATGTCGTCGTAACTGATGTTGTTGCTAATATTGGTGTTTTCGCCGCAATCATCTTCGCCGGCAACCAATCCATCCTCCAACCCGTCGTCCCTATCACCCTTGCCATCCATCTCACCCATCTCACCACTTCTCTGCCGATTCTCCCACTGATTGTGTAGATCTCGCCCCAGTGTGAAGAGGGTTTTGCAAGCAGCCATCCTATCATCAACCCGCCTCCAGTTGATGTAGACGTCGAGCTGGGGATCCGGCCCCTCTTCCAGCTCCCACAAGATGTCTAACATCTCCTGAGTCCTATTCTCCAACCACTGGTCCATCGTGATCGCTCCCCAATTGATCTCCACCTCTTCCTTCTGCTGCTGCATAAGCATCCCCACTATCGTCTGCATCTGCTTGCATTCCTCCTCCAGTGTGGTAATCCATTCTTGTGCTCAATGTTGTAGCTTCCCCACCAAATCCATCTCTCCCACCATTAGCTGCACCACTCACACAGTTCTACTGAACCCCTTGTAATCCCACGGCTGATGCTACCCCTGCTGACGTGTCACTGGACGTCTACGTCTCCAAACAACAGGCGCCACGTGGCCACAAGCCACTTCGCACCTATCGGGCACGTGCGCAGGCCCAGCAGTTGGGGAGCTGTTCTCCCCAGGCGCTAGTCGAGCCGGGGTGACCGGGCCCTACCGGTCCGCCGACGTCGGGGCGCTCACGACCCTTGTTACTTTTGCCCATTCCGAACATGAGGTGTGACTTGGACATACGTGCCCCCTTTTTAGGGGGGGAGGGAAACTGTGGCTTTGACACACTTTTGGTTTAACATAGGCAAAAAAAGACAAACTGGCCCCGGTGTCATGGTGCGAGTTTCGAAATGTGCACGCTTAGCGGGGGTCTAAAACTGCACTAGTCATTACCCGCAGTGGCGCTTGGCAGATTTAGTGCCCCCTTACTGTTTTCGTTTTTGTTTGCGCAAGGACCATGACAACCTGGAGGTACCATTTTTTTTTTTTTTTTTTTTTACCGCGGCCGGGAAACCCCACAAACATCCCGAGAAAGTATTGGGGCCGATACCCAGTTTAGGCTATTGAAACCGGGTCCAGTGTCCTTTCGAGTCTACCAAACAAAGCTCTCCAATAGAAAATTTAAAGAGGGGGGTTGTTTCCAAGCCCCTTTTGACTATTTATCTGGTTCATTTGTACTTGAACTCGGGTCTGCATTTTGGTGCACCAACTGAGCAGGCCTTGCCAGTGGTGAGGTACCATCTCTAGCCGCCCCCCCGAAAGAGAATTAGGGCCTCGCCCTATTACTCACCAAAAGTAAGAAAGATAAAAACTTCTTACCAGCACCGCTCACTGACAACAGGAGTCAACTGCGCTAGCGCTAGCGCCGGCGGACCGGTAACGCCCGGTCCTTCCGGCTAGACTAGCGCCTGGGGAGGGGAGCTCCTTGATTGCCACGTGGCATCTGTCGTAGATGACGTGGACGTCCAGCGATGCGTGGGCAGGGGTCACTGTAGCACCAACTGTGAGATCAACGACAAAACACAAGAGGGGCACAACTTTCTGGAAGAGAGATGAAGTTGATGGGGGAGCTACAAAGTAGAGTAGACAAATGGATGATTACCTTGGAGAAGGGATGCAGGCGGTTACAGGGGATTGGGGGGAGCTGTCTTTGCGGTCGCAGGAGGAGCCAAAAGTCGAAGGGGGAGCAATCTCTCTGGCTGATTGGTTGAATGATATGACCGAGGACGTGCTGGATATTATCCGGAAGCTGGAGGAGGGGCTGGTCCCGGTTGGATGCCCAGCTCGAAGCCTGCATCGGTTGGAGGAGGGCAGATGGCATGATGACCACCTGTTATGCCCTCTTCACTGAGGGTCGCAACCTGCGTTCTCTGATGGAGGAGCGGCGAGAGGGCGAGAAGGACATGGAGGCGGCGCAGACAACGATGAAGGTAACAATCCCAACATCAATAACAACAACAACATCGACATCATCGATACCGGCGGTTGTAAAGGCAATGAAGGTCACAACGTCAACGAAGATAATAACAACGACATCATCATTAGCAGCATTGGCAGCGGCGACAACCGCGGTAACAACAACAACAACAACAACAATATCGGTGGCTGCGAAGACAATGAAGGATTTAGCGCCAACAACAACAAGAATAGCGACATCATCAGTAGCAACATCGGCAGCGGTGAAGACAACAGTGGTAATAGCAAAAACAACAACAAAAATAACAGAAACTACAAATGCATCATTATCAGCAGCGCTTTCAACATCGAGAACAATGCATGCAGTGCTCGCGGCGACAACGACAACAGTGACAACTGCAGCAACAAGAACAACAATGATGAAAATAACAACAACAACAACATCAGCATCGACAACAACACCAAAACCAGCAACATCATCACAGGGGGAGAGGAGTGGGGATCTGACGACGATGGGGAAGCGGGGATTACAGTTGGAAAAACGTTTTGTTTCCCCCCCTCCCTTTCATTTTATTGTTGAATTGCTCCTCGATGCCTGGCATCGGATGGGTGTAGGATAGTCCATGACCCCTTCGTTGATTGGAATTGTCCGGCCCTTGGTTTCAATCAACACGGGGAGTTGATTGCCCCTCGGGTGGTAGGTTGGGCGTTTAGGGTTTTCATGAGAAGTAGATGAAAGCATGTGGTCCGGACAGGGCGTGTGACGAGCGACGACGGGTGAAAGGAAGGGGTTTTAGGGCAGGGGGTTGGGGTGGGTGGCTATAGCCGCTCTGTAAACTGCTTTGGTGGATTTCGCCAATTAGGAAGGCATCGAGGGCGACGGCTTAGTGGGAGGCTGCAGCTAGGGTTGTGTAGTCAGGATGCTGCTCCGCTCGTCCAGGTGAGTGTTCTACTCGGAAAACGACTTTGGCCTTCCCCGTCTTGAGAGCTGCTAGTCTGGGTAAAGGCAAGAACAGTTTTTTCTCTGGTATTTTTTAGGTTGTTTTTCTACAGGTTTATGTCCTCTGCAAGTTACCAATCAACTAAGGGATTGACATCACCAAGATTGGAAGTGAGTTGAAGGTGTTATGTGGGGTAGCATGTGGTAAGTGCTGGTGGTGATTTAGAGCTTGGGCGATGGAATTGATCTCCCCCTCCTTCCTCAATTGGGTTGTGAATGAATGTTTAGTAGGGTGTGAAGCCCCTGCGACGACTCACTGACATGTTTGGTGAGGTGGAGTCGCACTGTCTTCTGACCCCTGGGGGGCTGAAGATGGTCGTTGATGTCTTCGGTGTTAGCATCGCCTTGATGCTTAGTGGCTAACACTGGGAGGAGGGTGATCGTCTTTCCCCGAAGATGATGAGGTAGGGTTTGAGGGGAAGGGTGGTAAGTAGGTGGGGGTTGGGGAAGTGGGGAAGGAGTTTTTTTGGGGAAAGCTCTATTGTTGAGGATGAAAATTTCGATTAGGATGTTTGTGCAATTTTGTCTAAATAGCTGCTAATGATTTTCGTGATCTTCGTGTTTTGATTAGAAGTTCAGCAAAAATTTGTAAGTGATTTTGTCGAATTTTGATATCCCCTAAAATCTAGGTTACCAATGGTCCGGGGGCCGTTCGTCTCCCCCGGACGTCTCCCCCATACGTCCGGTACCCCCGTCGTCCGGGAAAAAAAGTTTTTTTTTTTCGTAAAATATATATATATATCGTCAAATAGTATATTTTTTGGTTTTCGATTTTTAAATCATGATTGACTGCGAATTTGAACATGACTCCAAGGCAAAAGTTGCTTGTATTGTTATGGTACATAACATATATTTTTTGCAGATTTTTCTGAGAACTGTTTTTTTTTTTTTTTTTTTTTTT